AGGTCCCTCCTGTACGGGACAGGTAAACGGAACAATAAGACTGCCACTATGGTTCCTAATCATAGCTTGTTTCATTCGGATCATTACAGTGTAACGCATTCTGAGCATGCGCACTGGACCGCCCCATCAGTTGGTTTCAAACTGGAGTATTTGAGCTATCTGTTGCTGCTCGTAGTAGCGATTTTAGTGACCGTTTCGTTTGAACAGATTATGCAAATGCATTTTATATGTGTGGACTCATCGTGAGTCGCTTGATCGATAGCAAATAACGCAATTTGAATATTCCGCAGAATTAGCTTTTTCAGTTGTTAGCCTTAACGGTGCAAAACAACGCTTTAGCTTAACTTAAAAAAAAAAAAAAAATCCTGTGTATTTTGGTCTTAATATATATTTATTTTGTTGCTTATGGGGTCATAGAGTCTTAAAACGTGTTAAAGACCTCACGGTTACTATCAAGCGTCGCACGCGGGTGGTATTTTTTTCTTTTGTAAAAAATGTGACACTGGTGTTGTAGGAAAACAGGATGGACAGAGACTTGTTGAGGCAGTGTCTGGTCCATCACGGAGAGTCACTGTTTAGCAGACTAAAGTGTGAGCAAACTGAAAATCCAGATTTCCAGGCGGTGGTGACGGACCTGTGCAAAGCCACGTATGATGGGAGGTATGGCCGCCAATTTAGTGCTCAGACATTACAATTGGATTAGTTTCTCATGATGTCTCTGTTTTCCTTGTCTAAGCATCATTTAGTGCATTTAATTCCCACAATCACCACTCGCAGATCTGAATTTGAATCTGAGTAAATTATTATTTCACAGCTTTAAAGGAACCAGGCCTACTTTTGAGTTGCTTTTCATAAAAAGGAAGTCAGTGCTGTTCTGCAAGCTGCTAAATTACATTCTTGTTATTTATTTTAGAACTTTAAAAAATAAAAAAACACTGCTTGAAAAAACTTTTTTAATAAGATATATATATATATATACATATATATATATATATATATATATATATATAAATATATATATAATCTAAATAATTTTACACTCATTCATAAAAAAAATCAATCTGAAAACACACAAAATGCCCTAATTGTATTTTCAAATGTTTCCTGTTTTGTTCCTCCCTCAGCATTTCAGATAACCAGTGCACCAGACTCAGCTTAATTAGTTCCAGTTTACCTCAAGGCTGCTATTAAAATGTTTTTTATTCTTTATTCTTCTGTGTTAAACAGAGGTGAAGAGCAGGCCAATCCTTTGGTAGAGCAGTTTATTGCCAGGAAGGCTGACATTCTCTTCTGCCCAGCATGGAAGACAGCCAATCCACCTCAGCAGCATGATGAGGAGGAAGAAGATGGAGGTTTGTGTTGTTTGAGTTGACCAAATTTTATCAGAAACATTTTTTTTAACTGCAGAAAGCCGTTAAAGTTTTCAGAATATGAACTTACTCAGTCCATGGGATGAAAACACATTTAGATCCACACATCCAAAAACCCAAGAAGATCACATCTTTGTAAACTATATTCCTTAAATATTTAATTAAATTTCAAATTTAGTTAAAAAAGGATTTAGTCATCCCAAATGGAAAATTCAGTTTGGGAATGGCTTTTCCAAGAGAGTCTGCGGTGTCTGAGGCCTTGCTGATGTCAAAGGCAAATGCCCTTAAAGCCTTTTAAAAGACTCGCCCTCTCTGCAAAAAAATGTGCGACAGCATGCACGAGCCCATTTCTCCTTGTGCACACTCTGTTTAAAGGTTGCTTTTCTCATAGCTCATACAAGCTTACTGTGTCAGAATGTCCGCTCTAACCCCTAAATCCCTCAATCACTATATAGTGTGGGGACTAAATAGTGGACTCAATCAACTTACAGTTCGGACAGATGATCACTTCCCCGTTGGTCCATCGTGCAGTGCCTGCGCCATCTTTGTTATTAGTCGCCGTTGCCGGGTAGTGGTAGCCTGTTGCGACAGCAGGCCGCTGTGACAGCAAATCTTATAATGCTTTGCGAGGAGAGCTCTCCGCGCAAAGCATTATAATCTGATATCTGATATATCTTCTGAGGCCTTTCTTTTTTCTCATACACTTCATAGACACTTTTTCTATTACGACCCTCTGCCATTTTTGAAGAACCCGAGTGAGGAAGGTGAACTTCAATGACTGTCTGAAACTGTAGCTCATCACAGATATGCCGCTGAAAGTAGCTACGAGCACGTAGGACGACCTTACATAAACATATCACCAGGATGACTGACAGTTAGATGGACCACTTATTTAGATTATCCACTCGAAAATAAAAGATTGTCCTCTATACCTTTTAATACTTACACATAAAGCTTAGTTTAAAGGCATGAAAGAGGATTCTGAGGTGAAAGATTTGTCCAACAGCTGTTTGTTTATTTTTGAATTGTGCGCATGCGTCAGTGCCCCTTCCTTCACAAAAGTTCTCCACGCTGGAAACACCAGACCAAAACTTTCAATTTTAGGGCATCCATGCATAAGAAATATGAAAACACTCAGAATATGTTTATAAGTTCCCTTTTCGTTTATATTTCAATCCGTTTTCACATCAGTGTGCGATAGGGGAGGTAATTCTCGCCAGGCAGGTATTTCTTGGTATTGATTATGTTCATGGTGGGGAATCCTGCTTCACAGCAGTAGGTTGAACCAAATATACTCAAAATGAGAGTAACGACGCAAGTAAAATTAGTCTCTGCTGTTGGAGAGCATACGGTAATTTATAAATGTTTTCAATCAGGTTGGGTCTGGATTAGCCAGCAGGTGGGTCCGGATCCAGACCACGGTCTGCTAATCCATGACCTCTGCTGTAGAGTGTATCAGTTTTCTTGAAACAGCATAGTGCAGTGAGTTGCAAGCTTTCCTGTGCAGCTGAAGGAAAGCGGACATGATAAAACCTGAAGTCTATACATATTGACAGGACTTCAGTTACTTTAAGTTTATTTTTATTTCCCCATCTGCAAGCCTGAGTCTCATCAGTGCAAAGACTATCATAACTGAAGCTTTTGGGGCTTGTTAAGTGGAATTTTGGTCTATTCCAGTCTGGCTTTTTTGTGTTTGTTTTTTTTCTATTGATATATATATTTTTTAAATGTAAACTAAGGATCCCAATATTGAATAACCATAAACCATTATGCCTGGAACTTAAAGTTCAGTTGAATGGTTTTTGATAGATTCTTGGGTCTCTTTCTAATATTTTACTACCATTGTAATCCACCTGAGATTTTCTTTCCTATTATTTCTGCATCCTTACCTGCTTTCATTAATATAATGCTGTTTAATACTATTAGCAGCAGTAGAGATTTAAACTTGAGGCAAATATACATAATGTGTCTCCTGAACTAGTAAGACAGCTCTCATATTTGCTTTCTGCAATTATGGTCTGTTTGGCTCACAACCAAATCAAACTACCTTGCAGCAACTTTTGTTCCTTCACATAGTCTGATTGACATGTAAGACTTGAAGGTATTCTCAATGCTTTTTAAACTGAAGCATAACTTTAAAACGTAGTCATCATGAAAACATTTTATTTGCCAACAATTAAAATGCCACTTTCCTTCCTGTTTTACTAGATCTAAAATAAACAAAGAAATGTTAATGCAGACATGCATTGCTTTGCTTTCAATAGCATTTCCTTTTTAGGAGATGAATCTTTATTTTTTATTTTTATTTTTTTTTACAGATGACTAGAGAAATATTTGATTAATCCCAGATAGAAGTTCAGTTCAGCTTACCGTATAGCATATATGTAGTTTATATATCACTGTAAATGTATAAAAGTTGATTATATACAAAATAGTGTCTTTAATACCATTGGTAAATCCATTAGCACAAGCACAAAACAATATATATATATAAAAAAAAAAACTAATTAATAATTAGAGGACATTGGAAAGTGACATGGACATCAATAAAGTGTAAAAGTGCGAAAAGTGACTCTTTTGAGTTGCTTTTCTCTGCAAACTGATAAATACCAAGATTCAGAACAGAATGAATGAATTCAAATGAAACAGAATAGAAGCAGAACCTTAGTAACTCTCTAAATTCTTTCAGAGCCATATGCCATCATGCCACCACTGGAGTTATTCATGGAGGTACCATACGAGGAGAGAAGATCTATGATTTACAGGGACTTGGAGAAGGGAGACGTCGTAGTGGGTCGGATCAACAACATTCGAGAATATGGCTTCTTTCTCACCCTGCTTTGCATGGCAGGAGGTCTGAAGAGAGACATCGAGGACTTAGAACTGTCTGTAAGTCAACTAGTAGACTAGTGGAAGAAACTGATTCATTAATTTCTCAGCCATCTGGCTGCGCCACTTCTTGAATTGCTGAATAAAATCTCACCCAGTAGGTACGAAGAATATTTTAATTCTGGACAAAGGTGGAGATTTATGTTAGCAAAGAGATCTTTTAAATTTGTATGCTTTTTTTTTTAAGGTACCGGTAATACAAATATTGTTCAATAAACATGTATACTTAAACATAATCCATCCAGCCTTTTTTGTCCACGTACATTAGACACTTTTGAATATTATTAAAAAGTCAACCTATATCAGTAACAAATTTTACTAAATGAATGTAATAATTGATTCAATTACATACAAACTGATGTTTTCAAACCTTATTTTTGTTTTATATGGTGAATTTCCATGTCCAGCTTATCAGAAAATATACTTTTTAATGAAAACATATGTGCTTAGTGAGAAATATCTTTATTACTTGCTTTAAAATTGTTCTTTTGAAAAGAAAGTCTTTCGAAGACTCATTTATTGAATAAAAGTTTACATTTATCTGTTTTTTTTAGTGCTGTATTCTTTTGTTTCTTCTTGTAGGCTCTCTGTCACGTCAGGGAAATTCCCTCCACCAGCAGCCATGATGATCCTCTCTCCTACTATCAAATCGGGGACTTGATTAAAGGTAACTGTCTTTAGTTTAAAATAAAAGGTCATATTTGTTAAAAACAGAAATATTTTGATATAATGAATTTATTGGGAGGTATCAAATGAGAAATGAAAATGAACAGGTTTCTTCTTTTAGAACCTTTATAGCAATAGTCAGATTTAGTGTGAAAGTATTTTCCCTGTGACTGTATGCAGATGATCTTAAACATATCCTGCTCAGAGGAAAATCCTTTTCTACATGAATCCTCTGGGGATTTTAGCTGCTCTATTCTCTCACATCAGGCAATATTGATGTTAGGGGTGTAAATAATAATAGTTTTGTATCGATGCATCGATCCAACAGCCGACGATCCGATGCATTGATACATCTGCAAGAGCATCGATTCATGATTTTTTTTCCTCCAGTTTATCCAGTTGCTCCTGGACGTAATTCTCCCTCCCGTGCTGCGGTGGCGCTAAACCTATTTTGCCCTCCTACCTCGCTTCCTGGTTATACTCTTACAGCATTTGTCTTGCAGTAAGCTTGACACAGTGATTATTGACACAGACAAGCTATCGAAGCATTGTCTGTGCTACACACTGTGGGTCTAGATACGGCCGAGGCGATGAGGAAGTGGGGGCGAGTTTAGTCCGACGACGAAGGGACATGAGGGCCAAAAAGAGCGGAGATCCAGGTGGGAAAAGGGTCCCAGTGTTTTCGCGCACCTCGCTCTTCTAGTGGGTCAAACTTCACGAGTTGCTTTACCCAATTTCGGTCATAAAAACAAAACAAGCCGGCCTCCTGTCTGCGGCACTGTCTGCGGTCAGCTACAATTTGGGAGAGGTTCAGCGGAGCGTCTGTGGAGGGGGCGGGGACGTCTGGAGCCGAGGTATTGCATTGCACTGATTTTGTGCAGTATTTTTGCAGTATTTTTTTTAATGCACCTTTTCTACTTCTGTTATTTGCTGTTGTTTCTCAAAAAAAATAAAAAATGCATATTACAGCTATATTACAGCTTCATTGATTTATTTCAAACTTGAAACATTGTCTAGCCTGTAAGGTGTAAAAAAAAAATAAATAAATAAAAAAATAAAGAACCAATTAATCGACTTGTATCGTGGTGTATTCTTGAGTATCGAAAATAATCGAATCGCTGGGTCAGGAAATCGATACTGAATCGAATCGCCATGATGGATGTGATTTACTCCCCTAATTGATGTTAATGCCAGGAAATTGTGTATTTCTATTTAAATGTAATATTTTCACCAACTGATATTTTGTTAATGTTTTCTATTTTAAATAGGGGAAAAAAAACAACTAATTAATCTATTTTTTTGTTTTATGCTCTGTAGCTGGAGTGAAAGACATTGATCGGTTCCAGGAAAAGATCACAGTGTCCCTCCATCAGGCCTCCCTTTCTCCCAGCTTGGCACACATCAAACTGGGTGTGTTAACCAGAGAAGATCTGCCTATACACTACAGGTAAAAAAAACCCCACTACACTCAATAAGCA